AAATCACCGGGTGAGTGAAAGAGAGAATTCTGCTGCCGAACTTAACATATCAAATTGCTCTGTCCATACCATTTTGATCGAGGACAACTCATGGATTTTGCATCACGATGATGCACCATCGCACACATCGCTTCGCGTACGTGACTATTTGACCAAACACTCGGCTAACATTATTCCGCAAGCGCCGTACTCGCCAGATATGGCACCCTGTGACTTTCTTCTTTTCCCAAAACTCAAATTACCGCTTCGTGGTAAGCGTTTTGGGACAACTGAGGCAGTAAAAGAAAATTCGCTGAAGGAATTCAAGACCATCCCAAAATCGGCTTATGAAAAGTATTTTGAAGATTGGATTAAGCGTTGGCGTATGTGTATTGCGCAGAATGGGAATTCTCTTGTAGGCGACAAAATAAATTTATCCGAATAATTGAATGTTTTGTGTTTATCCAAAAAAAGTAATTTCAGGATAAGCGGAATCATCTAAATTTTAGAGGACTTTACTCTTATGTATCAATATAATCTCAAGAAGATTTCTGTAAAATTAAAAGGAAAATGTATTTATGAACACATTATTTTTAAAGTTAGAGGAGTTATACGTTGTATGTATAATACAAATCTTATTGATTTTAATATAAATTTCCTCTTATACACAGATTATTAAATTTTTTTTAAGAGAATTATTATTTATTTTTATTGTACTTTGTTTTTACAGATTACACGTTCTTTTATAGCGAAAGGAGAGAAAATTATTCTTAAATTGTTCGGAAAAACTCCTGTTAAATTTTTTTTTACTTTCTGCTGAGAAAGTAGGAGAAAACAAATTTGTAATTTTAAGTACTCTAAGTAGCATTTAATGTAGTGTGTAACGCGATATGATAAATGAATATATACAAGGTGTCCATTTGAAAACTTTTCAGCTAATTATCTCGAAAACTACGAAAGATATTAAAAAAAGCTAAAAGACGTGATTTCCATGATTTCGAAGGGGAAAGAGAATAGCATTATCAGTTTTTTATTTGGTTGAAGGTCAACTTAATTTTTAAAATAGAAAGCCCAATTTTTTATTATATCCTCTTTTCCTTCCAATTAATTTTAACAACTTTTGTCCGAAACATTTTTTTATTTGCCAAATATTTTTTGAAATATTTAAGGAAAACTTGGTAACTTTTTCAACATTTAACTTACGATATCTCGCTAACTATTCGTCGAAAGAAAAAATAGTATTAGACTTAATAGTATTATTTCATTTACTATCAAGAATATATTACTATATGTAATAGTGCCCTAACTTTTGTTAACTTGTCAACTTTTGGAAATTTCAAAATTATTAAATTCTCTGGAATTTAATGAGAATTGAGGAAATTTTCTAGAGATAAAAGGAAAACGATTAGAATAACATCTAATAAATTTTAAACGAATGGTTCACTTTAATCGCTTTATCGAAAGATGAATCTTTTTCCTATAAAAGGCTTCGCTTAGAACATGAGACCAATGGGAAAAGTCACTTTACAAGTAGAATACTTTTCTTGGGTGTTTTATCGGCCGATTTCGGGTACTTTTTGAGCAGAGGGTATATCGTGACTAATATGCAACATAGTCTAAATGCGAGCACACTGTTGCCGGAGATAGACTGTCGAATGATGCAGCGCGTTCGTACGAGCCGGCGAACATAGTACGCCGTTCGGAGTTGTTTAGGCGGACGGAAACATCGTAATTTACAGACAAGACGTTTATAGAAGGATAAGCGATCCGGTAATCGCCGGCGCCACGAGAATTGTGGCGCATGGACGATCGTAAAAATGACCGTGCGTTGACCAGCGCAAACAAATCTTAATCAAGCAGACGTATTCCACGAACGTCGAGGTGGTAATCCGATAGCGCGGTCGTCCCGATTCAATCTTGACTGAAGCATTTGCAGAATTAGCTCTGTGATATTAGCGACCTTATTTACGCGTCGCACATAGACGACGGGCATGTTGGCGTCCTTCTTTCCCGATTTAGAAAATCCAGTTGCCTTAATCACGTACGACCGGGGTAAGCCCAGTTTCAGTCCCGGCGCGATGGCTCCCCTCGTTTCATCCCGACGACCGTGATATTACGTTCGTGTTGCTTTGTTTTTGTGTAACTGACGCTTGAAAAGTTTCCAAGTAAATATCGATTTTCATGCCGGTCCAATCTACGGGCGCGGCGGGAGGAACAACGAGGTCCATCATTTCAAAGATGTCCCGAAAAAATTGTCGCCATCGCCAGCATGATAAATGGAGGTTGTTTGGCAAGGATTTGGAAAAATATATCACGCGGCTGATACTCTCTCTCTCTCTCTCTCTCTCTCTCTCTCTCTCTCTCTCTCTCTCTCTCTCTCTCTCTCTCTCTCTCTCTCTCTCTCTCTCTCTCTCTCTCTCCCCCTCTCTCTCTCTCTCCCTCTCTCTCTCCCTCTCTCTCTCTCTCTCTCTCTCTCTCTCTCTCCCTCTCTCTCTCTCTCTCTCTCTCTCGTGAATCGCCGCGCGAGACGTCACTGTCGAGAGAAATGTGCTCTGACTTTCTTCTCTTTCCGTGCAGAAATAAAAACATTGAAACGAATAGGAGTAAATTTCATAAATATTCACGATAATAAATTTATTCCCGCGTTATAATGCCGCGTTATATGAGAATGAGCTCGGCACGTGGGACGCTTTGGCGTTACATCGACATTTGTTGCTACGCGCGACTATAAAATGTCGAAATAAATCCAATCTAGATTATTTTTTGTCGCATTCTCTTCGCATTTCATCTGAAGCGTTATTTTGCAGCTTCGGTTGGACGTAAACAATGCGGAACTTCACCCAATCAAATTTCAACCAAGAGTTTATGTCGTTGAAAAAGCTCCTTCGACCGTCGCATTTCCATCGCTTCCGGGTATTGCACACTGATAATGCTTCATGCTAATATAATCCTTCCCCCGGTTTAATTCACACGAATAACGAATCACTGCTACTACGTTGCGTGCTGATTTGTATTCATAACAGAACGTTAATCGAATTTGCCAGTTATCTGCGTAACGCCACATTTGTTATTATTTGATAGCTGGAAAATGTCTGTCGGAAACTGATCGGAAGGAATTTTCTTCAGCGACGCCACACATTGTGCGATATTCGGAATACCGTAATATATACGGCGTGCTATATGTATATGCACAAATATATATGCGCGACAATTTAACGAGCGCAGCCGAAGACAAAGATATGCAGATTCGGCGATGACGCGCGCACAGATCGATGCCGTGAATGTGATCAACGGCGTTAGAAGGAAACGAGAAATCGAAGGAAGGAGACGGACAGAACGTGGCGCGGAGGGAGGCGGAAGGGAGGGGAGAAAGGAGGAGGATGAGAAGGAGGAAGAAGGAATATAGCGAAGGAAGAGAGCGCAAGAAAGAGAGATGAGAAAAGGGTTGAAGTGCGGCAGACAGCCTCTCTTCTGCTTTCTCGACGAGAAAAGTCTTCCGCTTATTTCACGGCGACGCGACGGCCTACTTTCGAAAGCTTCCCACCTTTTATAGGAATTATACCGCCGAGATCAGAGAGAACGGAGAACCGGACCGGAACAGAGTCCCCTGACATTCCAAAGAGCTTTCTCGAATTTCATGCCAAGAAACGAACTAATTATTATTTAAACATTTCTCCCTTTTTTGTCTTCCTCTCGAACATTACGGAAGCTGGGTAATGGAGGAAACTGGAGTTTTTAAAAAAATAGTTCCCGTAATTCACAAGGAAATAGGTATTCTCTTGAGAGAGAGAGAGAGAGAGAGAGAGAGAGAGAGAGAGAGAGAGAGAGAAAGAAGGGAGAGGTCTTCGTCTCCTCTTTCGTAGGATTTTTGCTTCACCTGCGGCAAGAAATTAAACGGTTCTCGAGGAAAAGCTGGCGAGCTAGATTAATACTGCGCGGTAACAAATCTTTTATATACACACACACACACACACACATACATAAGAAGAGGGAAAGAGAAACGAACAAGAGATAAATAATAGGAAAGTTAGCTAGTATCCGAGCAAAAAATTGTTAAGGCTTTGATAGAGGGAAAACTGATACGGGCCTTAGAAGAATTTTGTAGGGATGCCTTAGATTTGATCAAAATAACGCTTTAACACAGAAAACTGATGTGGGCCGTAGAAGGATCTTTCAAAGATGCTTTAAGGCTCGTCTACATTAGCTGTAAGAGTAAGGCTGTAAGGTTGCAAGACACGAAATGAAATATTTTCATTCACTGACAGCTTACGTTACAGCCTTACAGCCTTACTCTTACAGCTATTGTAGACGAGCCTTTAGATATACAAAATCAAATTTTGTTACAGAAAATTAATAAGATCTGAAGCATGTAATAAAATTGTCATAGTTTAGTATTGTTTTAATAGGTACGCTCTACCTGGTTCTTTTAAAGATTTAAATTTTTTTCTTTTAAAATTTTTTTAATTATATCGCAAATGAAAACAAATTTTATTAGTTGTCATATTCATTAATCTCTTCCACGGATTTTTCTAGTATTGCCTTCGTTTTGAAATGCAGCAAACTTTCATAAAAACAGAAGCAGGATTTTTATGTGTAAAAAATGCTATATTTTTAAAATAAAAGATTCTTGTTATATATTAATTAGTTTATAAAGAAATAAAGAAATTACAGTCTAAATTTCTCGAAATGAAAAGAACGAATATTTTTATTCAAGCAAAAATATTCAATAATTATTCAAGCAATAACAAAAATATTTTCTTATAAGGCCTTATTAATTGCTTTATTAATTGCCTTATTAATTGCCTTATAAGGACCTGTTAAACATTTGTTACACATCTTGTAGGGCCCTTCTACCCCTACTAGGGTCCGATTAATGTTGAAGAAAAATAATCAGACCCTTATCAGAGCCTTATTAATTTTTCTACTCGGGTAGTCGGCAGTTAGTGAAGCTCGTAGGAAATCTCGTTTCATTTGTGCAGCGACACGTTTGTTTTATATTTGAATGTTGTTTACTGTTGCAGGTAATAACATTTACCGGCCACGCACGGGGCGCGGACTGGCGCGTGCAAAACGAGCTCTTGTTTATAACGACGAATGTCTGCGGTGCATAGGATATTCGGTGTTTGATGTCGCGTAGGCGAGCAGGCGCATATCTCCGATTCTTTAACCTGTGCCAGGCAGAAAAAAAAAGAAATGTATACATTGAAATTTTTGTATCCTCTCTATTTCTTTATCGGACCGCGGGAGCCGGTCGTGTCCGTCTGTGTAGATATTTCAACGGTAATTGTTCGGCGAGAAAGTGCATCCCCGCGCGCACGCAGGAGCGCGCTGCGTCCCGAGATGCGCAGCCAATATCGAGAAGGAGCTTATAAAAACTTAGCCCGATCGTTGTAATCGTTACTACTGATCCTCTTTCGCGAGTGTACTCTCTTCGCAGGTTCGACTCGGATTCGCGAATTGCGGCAGTCGAGCTCCCTGCCGATTTTGCGAATGCGAACTCTATGTACGATATCCCCTTTCTTCTCCCTCCCCGCCTCTCCCCCCCTCTCGCCCCTTAAATGTGAAATGCGAGCTCATTTCTCGACGCTGTTGGTTTTACGGGGGACCGTCGGAAAATTGCATCCCCGAGAATTATAAAGTGTACCAATAAAGACACTGAGATAATCCACGTCGTTTGTGTGTTCATTATTCCGAGTTTCTACGGGGAAAGAAACTTGATTGTCGCTCCCTTCCCCTGCGTCAACGACCGGACAGACAATAAATAGGAACACTCGACGTCGAAATACTTGAAGGAAAATTAAAGCCAATGTAATTTGGAACTTCTCGTTGTCTCGTGGCGCGAGCGAGCGAAGGACGGAGCTTGCGATACAATTGCCTTTTTGTCAGCAGCGGAGGGCAATTTGTCGACCGTTATGGAGTTTCCGAGACTATTGCATTCCGAAGAAATTAATGTAATATAATATTCGAATGTGTCGAAGCAGCACCGCAGCACGATTTACGCCTCGTAAATTATTACGAATGTGCGAAACAAATATACGGAATAACAATTGTGAATAATGACCGAATAATATATCTGTCAGGCTGTAAGCACAAAGGTTACATTTATGCGGCTAATAATATTACAGAGAGAGAGAGAGAGAGAAAGAGAGAGAGAGAGAGAGAGAGAGAGAGAGAGAGAGAGAGAGAGAGAGAGAGAGAGAAAGAGGGATTAATATTCCATTGAAATTCATTATTTAATCCGGCGTGCATCAAGAAGGGAAAAAGTAAGTCGACGTTTCATCAGCCAAACGGGCATATCATTTCGCCCGTGGCGTTGTAATTTAGCGTTAGCGGTTCAAAGGCTTATTGCCGATCCGCCGTCACGCAGTCGCGACAATAAATTTCCATTTCCGATATGAACGCGAGAGAGCATCTGATCTCAGCGGTGCGAACAAGCGGCGTAACGAGACAACGAGAAAGAGATGATCTTAAGTAAGTAGAGTCGAGGGGGCTAATGATCAGGGCGGACAAAGGGAAATCGATTCGCTTCCGGGAGCGAAGCTAATGTCTCGGAAAAGAAGCCCGTTCCTGCCGAGCTTTCTCTTCTCTTATCTTCTCGATGGTTCGAGGGCTCCGGCGAGCTCCCAATAATCGTGCTAATAAAATTAATTGATGCGGGAGAACAGCGTCGCTGCCATCGCCGCGCGTTCTTTTCGTCGTCAGCGATCCTCTTTAAGAATCTCAATTCGACGTTGCTCGGAACCGCCGATCGTGATGGATATCGAGGAGCGAATTTTTACCGTTTAATCTCGATAATTATCTGGAGCGCGAGCCGTCGGGAATGGATGGAAGGTGAGCGGCGTGAACGATGTTTCCGAAGGGGTTGTCATCCCCCGTTGAACGATGAAGATAGCTGAGCTATTTGCCACTCTCGTCCCATTTTCGACGATCAGCCGCAGTGAAAAATACGCGCAGCGTTTCATCCTGAGTGATTCCTGGGAACGTGACGCTGGCCGGTTAGGTTAGAATATATTTATATACAAGCTATATGTAACACCTTTCGCAGCTCTGTGCAAGTTTCATGTACGTTATGCGGGGTGAGAGCCGATACGGGGGCTGAGTCTTGTCAGCCGTACGAAGTGCTTCTCGAATCTGTGCGCGTGCGGCTTATCAGACGGGAAAAGACGCAAATGGAAACGCGAACCATCGATGTTACACTAAAAAAAAGAGTAATTTCAGAACAAGCGGATTCGTCTAAATTTTAGATTTTGTTTTTATATATCGCCTCAAGAGAATTCCTCCTAAAGATTAAGAGGAAAATATTAGAAACACATTATTCTTAAAGTTACAGGAAATATATGCCATATGTATGATGCAAATCTTATCGATTTTAATATAAATTTTCTCTTATTATTTAATTTAATTATTATTACATTATTTAAGTCTTTTAGACTATTTAATCAAATTATTTAATCTTTTCTTTATGAAGATTATTATTTATTCTTACCGTACTTTATTTTCGCTAGTTATACTAGTGAATTTGAAAAAATTGTTATAATTTACAGCGAAAAGTAATAATATAGATGTACTTCTGGCCCCAGTCCTACAATAAATAGGCTTGAATAAAATAAGATCATCATAACAAATTTCCAATCAGTTTTGTTATGGACTTCATAACTACAAAGATCATCATCATAACTAATTGTATGAAATGTAGCTAAAGGAAAGATATTATTCAACTTCTTGCTGTAGATTATTAACTGTACTTGATCAAATATGGGTAAATTATCTTCGTTTACATGTTACAGCAACACACATACCTTCTTTAAAAACCGTTCTAAATATTCTGACTTATGAAAATATGGTTATTTTTTCAAATTAATTGATATAAAAGAAAATCCTCTTGAAATAAGAGGAAAACAGTTAGAATAATATCTAATAAATTTTAGATGAATGCTTCACTTTAATCGCTATATCGAAAGAGAAATCATTTTTCTGTAAGAGGTTTCGCTCAGAATATGAGATTACGGGAAAAATCACTTTACAAACAGAATATTTTTTTTTGGGTGTATATTTTGAACCAATATTTTGTATCTTCTAGCTTCACGATCGTATCTGCAGCTACTGGCTTGGGGAAAAAAAGAAAGTAAGATGATAATCAATTCTCTCCTGCATTTTAGCCCGTTGTTTTGGATCCGTCGTCGGATTCCGCATTCGAAAATTTTGCCTATTGATTTGAATGTCGTAACTTGAAATCGACAGTCTTAGAAACTTTTTACACGAAAAGACGTTATCTCTTTCTCTCTGTATAAGCGCAACTTTCGTAATATCGTACGAGGAAAATTTCGTTTCATCCAAAGAGAGAGAGAGAGAGAGAGAGAGAGAGAGAGAGAGAGAGAGAGAGAGAGAGAGTGAGAGAGAGGGAGAGAGAGCAATGAGTCAGAATCTCTCGTGAGTTGTTTCTCACGGTTGGCATAAAACTGATGAAATTTCGATGCATTTGAGAAAAACATTAGCCTTTACGCTTATCCAAACTATTACTCGCACACGATAACGGTTACATAATTCAGCGAGTATTATTATTTCGTCGAGTGCGCGGGGCGCGCCGGTCAAAGAATGTTTTTATGAACACGCGTAAAATTAAATGGACTTTACAGTTTATGAGTGCAACACACATGACGCTCGTAAATATCGACTCGTCTTCCTATGAGGAGAGCCATAGGAGTGACGTCGGGCCGAGAACGACTAAACAAAATGACAGAACTCGCTCGTCATAAATCAGCAAAAGCCAGGCCACGAAGTGACTGAAAATTCCAGCTGTAAATCACAAATTACATAAAAAGCAGAGTGGGCTATAATTCGGGAACAACGTTCGTTTCGAATGTTTTATCAAGCCAGGCTACATGGAACTGGATGGAACTGCAACCTAGGCTAAAATTAAGCCTCGGACAGGGAGATTTAGCGCTTTGAAGTTAAACTTTTATTCCACTCGCGCGTTGGTTTCATAATATAAAATATGGTAAAACCTGGCACATATTATGAAAGTTGAAAAAGAGTCAAATGCACTACACTTAAACTTCCCGAAGCAGCTTTCAGTGTTGCACAAGTTGCTTCTTGCGGATAATTTTTTCATTACTGCTTATGCCTCGCTTTGGCTTTTTATCGTCATCGTTTCGGCTCGCAGACATCGGCCACATCGTATTGTAAATATCGACGAGCGGTGATCGCGCTCAATATCAACGACGCGTACATTCGTAAGCGGATTAAATAATATTTTCCGTTATCTGTCATTATGAACCTTCCACTTTGTATTTGAGCATTCGCGCTCGGGGAGTGAGGAATATCGCTGTAAAATCGGACTCGTCGAAAAATATGGAACGTGCGTCGAATACACACGGCGAGCTCCGGAAATTTGATGAACGTCAAAGCCGCGAGGCTTAGGGCTAACTTTTACGGATGTCGAATGGACTTACGGATCTCCTCGCGACACGAAGTTGTTCGCGGCGTGTAGCATTTTCTGCTCGAAAGGACGAAAAGGGCGAAGCAAGGAACCACGACGATTGTCGACAAATTCCGTCACATTTTGTGCAACACGAGCGCGGTAAGGAGGAAAATTATTTTCGCGATATCGGATTTACGTTAAGTCCAGAGGCTTTATTCCAAATTACACACACACACACACACACACACATGCGGGGTTAACGAGTCCGTCGCGTGTGGATTCGGCAGAAACGTTAATAAACGATAGGATGAGTACGTGCGGGCGAAGATGCGTTTGCGTGCGACTATTGGTAGAAAACTCGACAAAGGGTAGCAATGTAACCAGAGATCACGGAGAAAGAGTTGTGCAGGGCTGGGGGGAGGAATGAGTACCCCAAACGGTTGGAAACATTTTCCCGTCGGTAAAGGGAAGAAACACCTAGCGAGCGAACCACGTTTCTCCGTTCGCTCACTCGCTCGCTCGTTTGCTCGCTCGCACCGTACCCTTTTGTCGCAGGATCGATGAACTCTGTCCTCGCGTGGAACAATGAAAGGTGGACGGGATTCGTGCTCTGAGAGATAGATAGAGAGAGAGAGAGAGAGAAAGAGAGATCGAAAAACGAAATGAGCTCGTTTCTAAAGCACACGGTAAAAAAAGCGATAAAATCAGCTTGCTCGAGGCGATGTTCGTGGACGCGCGGTTCACAAACGCATCGTCTTGTACTTCATTTGTATTCATTTGTTCGTTTACGGCGGGGAAGGCGAGCGGAGAGATCAATTACCGCCACTTGGGATCACTTCACCACCGTGGACTAACTTCTCGTATTAAAACGATCAGCTCGCTATTGTACGCGAGCTTCTCCCGACACTTGCGAGAAAAACCAGCCCGGGACACAAAGTGAGATTAATTAAATTTAATTGGCATTATTTTATTTCCTCTTTGGAAGTAATTTTGCACCGTATTAAAGTTTTGTGAATTTCTTGTCCTCTTTTTTTCTTAACAGCTACACGCTTGGTTTTTCTTTTCATTTTCTCTCGTTTCTTTCACGTTTATTTCTTCTTTTTTTAATTTCTCCCAATTTTTTTCAACGTTACTACTCTGACGTCGGATATTTCGCTCGATTTTTCCGTCGTTTTTGCTATTCGCCCAAGGCGAAGGACGTTGACTTCGATATCGATTCCTCTTATTAACAGGACTCGCAATGGCACGTTACACACT